AAAAAAAATTATAGTTGTAGATGGACAACATGCCTTTATTTGATTATCATTTTTGAATGTGGTGCTTAGGATCAAACCCAGTGCCTCATACATGCTAGGCAAGTACTCTGCCACTGAGCTACAGCTCCTAATATATTGCATCTTAACATTAACTTATTCTTAAGAAAACCCTGGAGAAACAAAAACTCTTGACGTCAACTTCCCCCTTCCAGCTACCCTATCATTTTGTTGTTGTTGTTCCTTTACAATAAATACCCTTGAGTTTTATATTCATTGTCCCAGTTCCTTTCTTCCATTTTCTGTTAAATCTACCTCAACTGGCTCTGGCACCCAGCATTCCATTGAAAGTACTCTCAGTGTTGCTGAATCCAGTGGCTGATTCCAGTCTCCATCTCATTGGCCTGTCAGCAGCATTTCACACAACTGATGGCTCCCTCTTTCCTGGACATTGTCTTCCCTTACTTTGTAGTACACTTCACTCTCCTGGTTTCAGTCCTATACTGGTGACTATTCTCAATCTCCTTTGTTTACTGAGAAGGACTTCCTCCCTCTCTCTCTCTCTCTCTCTCTTCCTCCCTCGTTCTCTCTCTCTTTTTCCTTTGCAGTGTCCTTAACATCTAGAAGAGTGCCTGGTTTATAGTCATTACTCAAATGTTTGTTGAATGAATGTAATTGAAATTCTAGATTTCATCTCTTGGGCATTTAGTTTGCACAAGCATGTCTTCCTTAGGCTGATTGTGTCTGGTGCATCTGTAAATACCGCGTGTCTTTTTAAAAAATTATTTATTTATTTGTTTATATTTATGAGGTGCTGAGGATCAAACCCAGGGCCTTGAACATTCCAGGTGAGCACTCCACTGCTGAGCCACAACTCCAGCCCCTAAATAGCGGGTTTCTGTATTGCAGCCTGAAAAATGGTGTCTCCATCAAAGTAGTACCTTCTTGTGGGCTTTTCTAACAGGTTTTCTTGTTAGATGTCTGCCTCTCTGGGTGGAGTCTAGAAGATAAGGAGAGGAGAAGTAAAAGACTGTTTTTTCCTTATCTTTTTTTGTATGAGGTGGATTTTTAAAAAATTAATAATTCAAATTTAAATTATTTCTAAATGGATAGAAATTTAGTTCTACTTTGTCTGACAAGTTTGTGGGTGTGTGCTTCTTTGATGTGTATGTGTCCTATGTTTGTGTGTATATGTCTGATGGGGCAGTGCCTCTCAAACTGTAATTAGAAATAGTTTGTTTCCAATCTACAAAAAGACCAAGTACAGAAACAGTGTAAGCATCTATCATCTTTAATAGTAATTTGACAGAATATTTTTATGTCTTAAAATAAATAATACAAATTTGCAGGCTTATGTTTTCTATTCTTTGCCTTTAAAAATATTTTCTCTGGCAATTCATTTTTTATTGAATTTTACAAAAGCATCAGTTGGTCATTGAAAAATTTTTTTTTTGGAATTTTTAATATTTTATTGTTTAGTTCTCGGCGGACACAACATCTTTGTTGGTATGTGGTGCTGAGGATCGAACCCGGGCTGCACGCATGTCAGGCGAGCGCGCTACCGCTTGAGCCACATCCCCAGCCGGTCATTGAAAATTTTAAAAATTTGGTCCTTCCCAACTGTCTTAGAAACATTGGTTTGGGGTATGAAGGAAATGCTGTAGGATAAAAATATTTGAGAATTATTGTGATAGAACAACCAGAAAATGGCCAAAATTACATTTTCTGACTATCCTTTCCACTCCACAGTTATATCCATGAGAAATTAGATATAGAAAGAATAGAAGCACATTGAAGTCTTCACTCCCTGTCCTGCCTAATTAAGTTGTTTACAACATACTCTTCTTCCTCTACCCTGACCCTTCAATAAAGCACCTGGAAAGAACCCAAAGAAAACAGTAGTATTTTCCAAGAAGCCATGGGAAAAATGGTAGTTTCCAGGAAGCATTGGTAACCCTGACAAGGTGGAGACATTGAACTCTGCAAAGATAACAAGCTTACTTTTTTTGTAATCCCACCCAAATTCTGCATTTCTGACTGTACTATTCTCATATAAATGTTGTTAGTCACATATCCAAGGCATTACATTAGTCTAATCACACAAAATCAGTGAGGCTCTTGCCTTTTTAACTGGCTTATTAGGTTCTTACTCCTTTCTTTTTGAGCTTTATGCCCATGCATAAAAAAAATCTACATTAAATATATTTTGGGACTTAAAAACTGGTGCTTTACTGGGATAAAAGTAAAGAACAGTTTCTCATAGGATGTATTCCATAAGTTCCCAAGAACATTTCTTGTTAAGTAACATTTCTTTCAATATATGAATAAAAATGATAAAATGGTCAGTAATTCTGCCAGTCTAAATGCAGAAGTTCATACCCATCTTCCTAAAACTCTTCTGTGTTGGTTTTCCTTCAGTTATGAATGTCGTCGTGGTAACCCTGGAAAACAACATAGCAGACGCATGCCCTAACATGACCTAAGCTCAGGTACAGGAAACAGTGGTTCAAACCATGCCAGAAGCAGCATCCTATCTCCACAGACTGAAAGGCTATCACAGCATGGTAAACTTACAAGGTAGAAGTTCTTGTGTTTCCTAAAACTAATCTTTTTTCAGCTGTCCAATACTTATTGGGTAGTTTTCATGTTCTCCATTTTTCTCACACAAAGGCACATATCCATCATCCAAAGATGGAGAGAGGGGAGTTCTGTATTTTCAAAACCTCTTTCAAAGATTTTTAGTTCCATATTTTCAAAACCTCTTCCCACCTTCCCGCTTCTGCAAGAATTTAGGAAGGGATTTCTTGTTTGTATATGTAAGAATAATGGGAAAGGGAAGAATAACATTTTGTTTCCTGTTGTTTTTTCACCTTAAGCTTAGTTTTTTTTCCTATGACAGTGAGACTGTAAAATATTACCTCTCTTTTCAGGATCTGTCCTCCAGCTTTATGAAGGTGTAATTGACAAAAATTGTTTATATTTACAATATGTAATGTTATATTTTGATATACTCATACATACATTAGTAAATGATCCAATCAAGTAATGTTTTCATCATCAAACACACTATTTTTTTGTGATGAGAACATTTAAGATTCACTTTCTTAGCAATTAAAATATATATATTTTAAAATATATTTATATTTAGTTGTTGATGGACCTTTATTTTAATTATTTATATGTGGTTCTGATAATCAAAACCAGTGCCTCACACATGCTAGGCAAGTGCTCCACCACTGAACTATAACCCCAGCCCTTTCTTAGCAAGTTTTGAGTGGAAAATACATTATCATTTACTGTAGTCACCATTCTATACAAATAGATCTCTAGAGCCAAGAATAAATCTCATTTATATACATTCTTAGGCAGCAATTGAGAATAAAAATTCAATGTCATGATTGTTCATAACCTTTCTTTTGGTGTAGATTTTTCTTAGCAAGGAATCTAGTCATGTTGACTGGATTCTTATAGTCTAGTATTTGATATACTTTTTAAAAAGCCAGTCAAACATGACAATGATACAGTGTGTGTGCTTGTGTATATCATACCTGTTACCTTGTTACCACTTCCAGGAAATGTCTTCTTGGCGACAGGACTTAGAGGAGGACACACACATCTATGTGTTTTAGTCAACTTTTTCACTGCTATGACTAAAAGATCTGACAAGAACAATTTTTTTTTCTTTTTCCTTTCTTTTTTTTTTACCATACGATTTATTTTTATTTTTTTTTAGTCATACATGACAGCAGAATGTATTTTGACATATAATACATACATGGAATGTACATACATCAATCATATTGTCTATTCTATTCTGCTGCCCTTCCTATCCCTCCTACTCCTCCCCTCCTCTCCCATCCTTTCTCTCTATCCAATCTAATGTGACACACTTTTTTTTTCTGACAAGAATAATTTTAATGGGGAAAAGTTCATTTGAGGGTTCGTGGTTTCAGAGGTCTCAGTCCATAGATAGCCTGCTCCATTCCTCAGGGTTTGAGGTGAGGCAGAACATTATGGCAGAAGGTGTGACAGAGGGAAGCAGTGATGACCAGGAAACAGAGAAACTCCACTGCCAGATACAAAATATACACCCCAAAGGCACACCCAGGGACCCACATCCTTCAGCCTCACCCTACCTGCCTTCAATTACCAATCAGGGGATTGATTGATTGGGTTAAGGATCTCATAACCCAATCATTTCTCCTCTGAATGTTCTTGCATTGTTTTACACATGATCTTCTGGGGGACACCTCACATCCAAACTATAATATCTGTAGCTCTCCTGTAAAAGCAAAAAAAAAAAAAAATTATCATTAGGGTTTTATATTTGTAGATCAGAAAAAAACTCTTTATTCCATAGCAATCTATTGGTCAGAACAGATACATTTACAGTTCTGAGATCTGTTTAAGAGAACCCTTAGTATATATATTCTCAAACTATGAATGAGGGTTATAAATGGTGAAATGAAATTGAATTTGCTGGGTTCTCGTACGCTTCCAGCCCTCGATTTTAATAGTACTCCTTCTTAATCAAAGTTCACAATCTCCCTAACTAGACTGTGATCTTCCAGAATAGACTACCCTTTTTGTCCCTCTTTTCTTTCAGTACAATGACCCTGGCCAGGTATACAGACTGAACTCGAAAATACTGTTATCTAGTATGTTACTGTCTGATACGGTGTAGATGTTACTGTTTCACATCTACTCTGTGGCATAATACTAAGTAGTTTTTGTTATTGTGGTTTTGAGCTGAGCCAGTAGAATGCTTTTGTAATTGTGTGTCAGAGTTTCTGGTGCTTTTTCCAGGAAGCTGGAACTGAATTATTTTCAGAACTTTTATATAACTTAGTCTATCATCTTTAGTCCAAGATTAAACAAATACCGTATGTGCCTGTGGCCTACATTATACAAAATGTGAAAGGGTTACAGCTGAAACACTCCCTAAGTGGCTTTCTGCGGCCAAGAATACTTTCTGGAATTATCCAAAATGTATGATGAAGCCAAAAGAGGTTTTTAAACACACCCTTTCTTCCCCTTAGGGTTTTCCCTAAGTCATCCCTTCCCTGTCAGAGCTTGCTGCACACACAGAGGCACAGCACTTGACAGGTGTTAGGAGCTACATTAGCCACTCAGGTAATTGTCTAACCCACTAGACTTTTTAAGTGCCTCAAGACTAGGAACCCTCCCCTTAGCCTCAATACCTCTTCTGGGCCTGTTTTTTGACCTGAACAAAGGGGAAAAAAAAAACCCCACAGGACCCAAAAGACTGAAATAAGTAGTCTAAGTGGAGCAGAGAGAGTAGCCACAGCTTGGGGTGACATAACAGAGCAGTCATGGAAGACCCATGGTGAAGATGTGTTCTCATATTCTTACCAGGTGAGAAATTTCAGACCTCCCTCCTTTTATTGTGCTTCTCAAATATTGTGGGGTTTCTGTGTTTATTTTACAAATTGTAGCAAACCCATGTCAAGCAAGCCTGTTCAAACCATTTTTTTTCATGTGTCTGGGTCAAATGTTGGTGATTTTAACAATATTTCAAGTTTTTCCATTATTATTATTTCTGCTGCAGCGATCCATGATTCATGATCTTTGATGTTGCTGCTGTAGTTGTTTGGGGGCACCATGAATGTCCATCAGATAACAGGCCAACTGAGTCGGTAGGCCTTGCCTGTGTTTTCACTGCTTCACTGACTTGTTCATTCCCCCTTCCTCTCCCTCTCCTTGAGCCTCCCTATTCCCTGAGACACAAAAACATTAAAAAGAGTTCAACTAATAACCCATAAAGGCCTGTCAGCGTTCCAGAGAAAGGTAGAGGTTCAGGTCTCTCACTTTAAATAAATTTAGTGAGGAATACAAACCACAAGCTGAGAAAGCTCGAAAGCCAAGTCTCTGGTGCCAGTTAGCCTAGCTGTGAATGTAAAGGAAAGTTCTTGAAGGAAATTTTTAATTTCCAATGAACACACAAGTTATTTAAAAAAAAAATTAAAAAAAAAAAAGCAAATAGCTTATTGCTGATGTTGAGAAAGTTTTAGTGGTCTAGACAGAAGATGAAACCAGCCACAACACTCCTTTCACCAAGGCCTCACCCAGAGCAAAACCCTCACTCTCTTCAAATCTGTGAAGGTGGAGAGAGGTGAGGAAGCTGCAGAAGAGAAGTTTGAAGCTAGCAGAAGTTGGTACCTGGGGTTTAAGGAAAGAAGCCAAATCCATAACATAAGTTACAAGATGAAGCATCAAGTGCTGATGCAGAAGCTGCAGCAAGTTACTCAGAAGATAACTAATGAAGGTGGCTAAACTCATGTAGATGAAATAGCCATCTATTGGAAGAAGTCACCTAGGACTTTAATAGCTAGAGAGAAGTCAATGCCTGGCTTTGAAGCTTCCAAGGACAGGCTTTCTTGTTGGGGGTAATCCAGTTAATGACTTTTAAATTGAAGCTAGTGCTTACTTCCCATTTACCAAATCCTAGGTCCTTAAGAATTATACTACATCTACTCTGCCTGTGCCTTATAAATGGAGCAAGCCTAGATGAATTTTAAGCCCATTGTTGAGACCTACTCCTCAGAAAAAAAAAATTCTCCCTCTTCCTCCTCCTCCTCCTCCTCCTCCTCCTCCTTCTTTTTCTGATGGGGTCTCACTATTTTGCCCAGTCTGGTTTCAAACTTGTGAGCTCATGAACTCATGAACTCAAGTGACACTTCCTTCTTGGCCTCCCAAGAAGCTGGGACTACAGGCATGTACTACCTCGCATAGCTAAAAATAGATTCTTTAAAAAATATTACTGCTCATTGACAATGCACCTTGTCTCCCAAGAGTTCTGATGGAGCTATATGAGATTAATATTGTTTTCATGTCTGCTAACACAACATCCATTCTGTAGTTATATATCAAGAAATAATTTTTACTTTCAAGTCTTATTATGAAATACATTTTATAAGGTGATAGCTGTCATAGATAGTGATTCTTCTGATGGATTTGAGCAAAGTAAATTGAAAACCTTCTAGGAAAGATTTATCATTCTAGGTGCCATAAAGAACATTTGTGATTCATGGAAGGAGATCAAAATACCAGCACCAACATAAGTTTGATTCCATTAACATGAGGGTAACCCTCATGGATTGCATTGAGGGGTTTGAGACTTCAGTGGGGGCAGTAATAGCAGATGTAGCAGAAATAGCAAGAGAACTAGAATTAGAAGCAGAGTTTAAAGACATAACTGAATTGCTACCATCTCATAATAAGACTTTTGTGGGTGAGGAATTGCTTCTTATAGATGAGCAAAGAAAGTGGTTTCTTGATGAAGATGCTGTGAACATTGTTGAAACAACAAAATACTTAGAATAATAACTAAAATTTGTTAATAAAACAGCGGGGTTTAAAAAGATTGATTCCAATTTTGAAAAAAGTGCCAATTGGATAATATGGTACCAAATTCCATTGCATGCTATGGAGAAAACTCTTTTGAAAGAAGAGTCAATCAATGTGAAAGATTTCACTCTTGTCTTATTTTAAGAAATTGCCACAGTCATGCAGCATTCAGTAACCCACCACCCAATCAGTCGGCAGCCCTCAACATCGAGGGAAGATCCTCCAACAGCAAAATGATTATGGTTCACTGAAGGCTCAGAAGATCATTTGCAATAAAGGATCCTTTCAAATACGGTATGTAAATTGTTTGTTAGACACTAGTGTCATTTACACTTAATAAACTATAGTATAGTATAAATATAGGTTTTATCAATCAATCTGTGATTTGTTTTATTGTGATATTAGCTTTATTGTGGTGGTCTAAAAGTGAAACTCCTGTATCTCTGAGATACGCCTATGTTAAATGACCAACTGAGGATTTTTTTCCCAAAACTTAAAAAGTACAATGTGGTACCTATAGAACTTATAGACATGAATTTTTCTTTACTGATTTGAAATTTCTCTTAAAAAGGGAAAAATAGTAGTAATCATGTCATAAGAATATTGGGAGAATTAAATGAAAAAGACCCACAAACATCATTTAACACTGTCTCTGGTACATGGGAAGTGATTAGTGATATTGGATATTATCATAATTCATAGCATCTAATTAAAATAGAGCTTTCTAATGTCACTAAGAAAAATTAATTGCCATTTAATCTTTGACATGATGATTTCTTATCACCAAAATTATTTTATATTAATTGAAAAACTTTTAGACTTATTTAGGCAGATTTTTAAATCATATTTCTTTTATATGTTATATATAAAAAGTCAAATCATGGGGCTGGGGATGTGGCTCAAGCGGTAGTGCGCTTGCCTGGCATGTGTGCGACCTGGGTTCGATCCTCAGCACCACATACCAACAAAGATGTTGTGTCCGCTGAGAACTAAAAAAATAAATAAATAAATATTAAAAATTCTCTCTCTCTCTCTCTCTCTCTCTCTCTCTCTCACTCTCTCTTTTTTTTAAAAAAAGTCAGATCATTTCAAGTATTTTAAGATAAAAAAAAGTCCTAAAGAACTTATGTTCAGAGTCTAATTCCTCTAAATCATTTTTCTTTGCAGAGACATTGATTTCTGTGTTTTTTTTTTTTTTTCCTCATGGTGGTGTTGTCTGTCACATTAGGAGTGTTGGAAATAAGAAACACAGCATTTCTAAAATGTGCCCCTCTTCTGGATCCCAGATTCTCTCTCAAACCACTAACACCCACTCTCCTTGTGCTTGCTCCATCTTATCAGAAAGTATCAATGGAAGTTTTTAGACAACAAATACATTCATATCCGCCCCCCCACCCCCGAACCCTCCCCAAACCCTCCCTGCACCCCCCCCCAAAATTCCTGCTCTTCACTTCCTAACCTGTTTCTTATTCTCACTTCTTAACCCCATGATTGCAGTTCAGGACAAAAATCAGGATTTTTGTCCTGAACTGGAGTCCTCCTCGGATCTTTTCTGTCTCTTACACTGCATATCCAATTCAGTGAGACTTTAAATCCAGAATCTGGGCTGGGATCATGACTCAGTGGTACAGTGCTCACCTAGCACTGGCTGGGACCCAGGTTCGATCCTCAGCACCACATAAAAATAAAGGCTTTGTGTTGTGTCCATATATACCTAAAAAATAAATATAAATAAATAAATAAATAAACAAACAAACAAACAAATAAATAAATAAATCCAGAATCTGCCCTCCTCTACTGCTGCTGTTCTGGCCTGTGGCCTTACCATCTCTTCATCTCTTGCCTATAATTATCTCTTAACAGGTTTTTCTGCTTTCATGTTGGCCCCACTACAATCCTGTTCTCAACACAGTGGCCAGAGCACATCTTGCAGTACTCAGTCAGACCATATTTTCCCTCTACTAAAAAACCATTCCCATTTCACTCACAGTGAAAGTGTTTGCAATGGCCCCCAGGACTTACAAAATTGAGGCTCCCTGCTTCCCCTTTCTCCGTCTTTTCCTCATGTCTGTTGCATGTTGCTCCAAACTTCGCTGGCTGTTTCTCAGTCTTTCAAGGTTTGTCCTTGCCATGGGGTCTTTGTGCTAGCTCTTCCCTCTTCCCGGGATCCTCCTCCTCTAGGCCTGCATAGTTAGCTCCCTCATCTTCTTCTAGACTTTGCTCAAATCTCATGTCCTCATCAAAGCCTACTTTGACCACCCTGTTAAAGACTGCAATCTGAACCTCTTCCAGCCCCAGTATGCCTCATTCCCTCTAAGCTATTCTGTATTTTCTTTATCCCAGTATATAATATTCTATATACTATAAAATTTACTTATGTATGATGGTTTATTGTTTATTACGTCTTTCCTCAGAAGGGTAGAAGCATTTTGATTTTTCCACTGATATTCCTGAGTGCTTGAAACAGTACCTTATAGGCATTCATAATATGTTTCTTAAATCACACCGAATTGTGATAGGCCCTATCCTATGACGGAGGTCAGCACAAGTGCCATGGGGATATAGAGATAGTCCACACAAAGAGGAGGTTAAGAGAGACTGAGAGTCAATGCCTCAGTTGAGCTTTTAAGAATTAAAGGCTGAGGCTGGTAAAAGAACTAGCAATGAAATCAAAGGTGCAATTACTCCTTGGTGTCTTATTGCTGGGCTTGCTATAACAAAATGCCTTAAACTGGATGATTTAAACAACAAATGTTTACTCCTCGCAGTTCCAGAAGTCCACAGCTCTAAGGTTCTTCTAGCCAGAACAGCAGTTAAAGAAGTTTATACTCAATATCTTTAGAAGGAAATTCTATGATAGAGGTTTTTCTCCTTGGACGTCTTCTTTTAGTGTATACCAGGGATTGTATTCAGAGTTAAAGTGTTTGCTATATTAGTACCTGGAATGAGACATAGATCTATTCTTGAATCAGCTTCTTAACTTATGATGTATGATTTATGTGTTTTTAACAATAGGTGCCATCTGCTAGCTTCATATGTAAGAAATTATTCTTGATAATTAGATGTCAAGCTTAGTTGTTTTTAGCTGCTGGAGGATTGTATATACTGTCAACATGAAAATATAACACATTTTAGAACTGTGCATTCTTGAAAATGTTTGCCTGTGACCTTTAAATTTCAGTGGGTTGGTGCTAAGTCCCTCTTCCCTCCCAGTTTTGACTCTGCTTATAGAATCGCCTAAACTCAGTCCCTCCCTGGCACACAGTAATCAAAATACATTGTTTAAATGACTGAATCAAATAAATTTTGATCCAGAAGAAACATAGTATAAGTCTTAAGGACTTGTGGAAACAGAACTTAATAAACTGTTTTGTGCCTGTGAAATAGGGTTCATCATAGTATTGACCTCAGTCTTTATGAGTGAATGTCCTATGAATTACTCACGTAAAGTCTTTGGCACATTTCTTATATTAATACATTTACTAGTAAAACTTATTAATAGATTTTATTTTTTAAGGACAGTTTTAGACTTATAGAAAAAATGAACAGTTAATACTGAGAATTCCTAGACAACCCTCCCTATCCCATACCATCTACTTTCCCTACTATTAACATCTTAAATTAATATGGAATGTTTGTGATGACTAATGACCTGCAAATTGGTGTAACCATTATGGAAGTGGTATGGAGATTCCTTAGAAAACTTGTAATGGAACCACCATTTGACCCAGCGATCCCACTCCTCCATTTATACTCAAAGGACTTAAAATCAACATACCACAGTGACACAGCCACATCAGTGTTTATATCAGCTTAACTCACAATAGCTAAATTATGAAACCAACCCTGGTGCCCTTCAACAGATGAATGGATAAAGAAAACATGGTACATATACACAATGGAATATTAGTCAGTCTTAAAGAAGAATAAAATTATGGCATTTGCCAATAAATGGATGGAGCTGGAGAATATCATGTTAAACAAAATAAGCCAATCCCCAAAAGCCACAGGCTGAATGTTCTCTCTGATATGCAGATGCTAATTCACAGTAAGGGCAGGGGCTAGGGAAGCATAGAGTTATTTTGGGTTAGGTAGAGAGGAGTAAAAAGAGGGGAGAGGAGTATAGGGATAGGAAGGATAGTAGAATGAATCAGACATTATTACCCTATGTATATTGTGATTCTACATCATGTACAGAGAATGAGCAATTATATTCCATTTATGTATGATGTGTCAAAGTGCATTCTACTGCCATGTACAATTAATTAGAACAAATAAAAATATAGAATTTTTGTGATCATTAATGACCAATATTGTTTGCATCATCGTTATTACCTAAGGCCAAAGTTCATTCAGAACTCCTCAGTTGTCACCTAATGTCCTTTTCTGTTCCAAGATCCTATCCAGGATACTTATTGCATTTAATTGTGCTATCTCCACAGTCTCCCTTGGCTGTGACAGTTTCTCAGGCTTTTCTGTTTCTGATGAACTTGAGAGTTTGAGAAACACTAACCAGATACATTGTAGGGACCCTATCTGTTGAAATTTGTCTTTGGCACATTTTAAGACATCTAAAAGTGTTGATTACTGTTATTGCTTAGTGTTCAGATTAAAATGTGAAACAGAAGTGTAATGTGGGTGGTGGAAAGTTTTGTTGAAGATTCATTATTGAAAAGAAATATTGATTTTTTAAAGCTTGGTCAGTTTATCAGTGCTGAAAGAACTGTTTGAATAAAATTCGGCTTGCCCACATCCAACCTTCCATCTGTCTATTCAATTCAGTAAATATTTGCCACGTCCCTGTTATGAAGGTAGAAGTATATTGGATGCTGGGAATTCACTGACAAACAAAACATTTGTCCTGATGGAGCTTCAGATCAAGTAGGCAGACAGTTAATAAACAACTAGAGAAATAAAAAATGTGAAAGATAATTTGTAAGAAGTACAGATAATGAAATATCCTTATATTAAAGAATATCTCAGTAGATGAGAGAAAGGGAAACTAAGATCTTTTATTAGTTAGATGCTAATCTTTTTTGTTGTTATTGTTTTCTTTTTTACTTATATACATTCTACATGACAGTACATATCATACATACATGGAGTATAACTTCCCTTTCTTGTGATTGTACATGATTTAGAGTTACACTGGTAGTGTATTCATACATGAACATATGTCTGATTCATTCTACTGAGTTAGATTCTAATTTTAACTCTGAGAGATAAAATACTTAAAATAAGGAACTTAAACAAGATAGATATTTTCATGTTCAACATGTCAGGGAGTTAGCCCA